AAAACACATTCACTGTCAGCTGATCTGGGAGAATCTAGGAAGATGGAACGTATGTAAGCTTTGACATTTTCTTACACTATCTGTAAAGACATGCTCAAATAACTGAATAGTTAGTTTATTWAAATAATTTACACATCTTGATTCTGGAGCCACATTGGTATATCTTTCCTATAAAAGAAAAAAGCCAAAACAGACAAGTCATCTTTACAAGTCTTGGATTCTTCAGGCACTCAGTTTTTGTGGGTGAAAGCCTGTGCCTCTCACGTCACCCTACCAGTGTGAGCCTGCCCTGCTGACTTAGTGGACAGGCTCTGGCCAAATACAGCTTTATCTAGAGTAGCTTTCCTTTTAAGAACACTTGGATTCAGCCTCATTTACATAGTTCAGGTGATGAATCAAAGATATACTATTCTTAGAAGAACTGGTTTTAGCCAGCAAATAACTCAGCTGGAGTGAGAGATTCTTAGGGAGTCAGGCAGAAAAGCCCACAACCTTTTATGTGTACTGCTCATATCAATGATCTACAGAGCTCAGGAGTGTAGGAAGCCAGCTGGGCACACAAGAGGGACAAAAGTCTCACTCATTTCTCATAGTGATGGTTTGCRAGTTTAATCTTCTCAGACAAAGCAGGCTCTGGTCTGAGACTGTGGAAGACGAGGGTTATTATATTCAAACAGGTTTTGTCCTGCTTTGGGGAAATAAAGARAAGATTTCTGAGAAAAGAAACCTAGAAAATCTGACTTTGAAGAACATTCCTTGGTAGACAAACTAAAGCATTAGAGAGCAATGATGCACAGTCTGCACCAAGAGCAGAGCTGGTGCCTCCAAGCAGCTGGTGCTGCTTTGGTAACTCATAAGAAAAAGATTAAAGTTAATGGCAGATATAAGGAGAGCAGACAAAATATAGAGGAAAGAACCTGTAAATACAACATACTAAGACCCAGAACGTTTGCCTGCTCTCATATGAGAGTTAGCCTGTGGGGGAAAAATATGCACATGTAGCCCATTGTTCATTTGGAAACAGAACTAAAAACTGTTTTCTTCACTGATGTTTACTTCAGACATGAGGAAACCTGAGAGGATGAATCTGCTATAAATGGCCCAGTAACATTCCAGAAGCTTATGCTCCATAACACCCACAGTTCCCACAGCACCAGTAACAGAGTTCTGGCTTTCTGCAATCCAATTATTTATCAAAGCAGCACCTAACACACCTGACTGATGGTATGCAAAACAACACTTCTTACTATTTTTTCCAGGCCTTTTACTGAGCCTTTCACTTCTTCAAGCCCAAACTAACTGTGAAATGTGKAACCATCTGCCAGGATCATTAAAAGATTTAGCTTGCTATGACAAAAACRAGTAAGAGCCAAGTTTATAAACTGAATTCAGATACAAATCCGGGGTTGTCTTGTTCACCTGTGTTTCAGAGGCCTCCTGGGAYGATTGAGAGGAGAAAAGCATCTCTGACACAATACCTGGAGGCTTTACTATGTGCAGCATGCATGCTGCATCACCATGCTATGTCCTGATACCTGRTGAGGCAAACAGTGACAATTTTTGAGGCAATTTTGACACCAATTCTACTGATGTGGCTTTTGGTCTTCTCCAACGCTGGCATAGCGGGTAGGAGACAGAGAGACTCCTTGGATACCCTTTGTGATGTTCATGCCYCACGTGGAACCTGGAGCTCTGGGCACAGCTGGGGAGGCTGCAGACAGTGCCATGGCTCAGGAGCCCAGTTACAGTGGTGGAATTCAGCMTGCTGCCCGGACAACCAGGGTGTTCTTTGATATTCCTGCTTGTCTGCTTGCTGCTGTGTATCCCTTGCAAGGCTCACAGGTAATTGTTATAGTTTAGCTCTTTATTTTCTGCAAAAAGTGCTGGTGACTTTTCTTAGTCAAAACAGAAGAATTCAGAAGTTAACTCAGTACAAACACAACATGAATTAAATGATCTCGGAAAAAGATTTCTCAACAGGAAAGCTTTATCCATCAATTACCTACTTTATGTAAAACTGTCACTCATTTCTCATAATCCTGCCACAAAGGAGAAATTTTATTTTAAACACCCTGCTTGTATGACTGTCATCATTACYACAAATAGCAACAGCTATACTATTAAATTGCCAAAGAGAATTTTTTACCAAATACAAAAGGCACCTGTGAGCTGACAGGCAGCAGATGGGTACACAGCTTATGGAATACCTGGCAGCAAGGGGAACARCTTTCAGGGATTGTCTTCTTCACTTGCTTCTGCTTTATTCATTTTTATATGCAAGGCTGAGCCTATTGTTTGCCCTGTTGATACTGTTATTTCCATAGCTTATGCTGAAAAAGCTTTTTTTTCCTTTAACTTCTTTTTACTCCTAATATATTCCACATTCTACAACATGTTGCAGCCAACTCTCACCCTATTATCACAACGTGCCTGCATCACCTGTTCTTTTTAAGCTTCTGGCTCCAGCAGACATCGTATTTATATGAGAAGGCTATTTTCAAGACCCAGTTGAACAAGAGGGCAAATGAAGACCACCATCATTTCATAAGAGCATTTTAAAATAACCTCATAACTTTCACAGGGCTCAGATGCATTTTTGGGAACACTTTGATCCTGCAGGAGTTGGAACTGCAGCACATTGTGCTATTAAGCAGCAGGAATGAATCCTGTCTTTGCATTTTATAAACATGGAAAGTGTATGTATCTTCCTTCAAGATTTACATCACASAGTTCATGACTTTAGAAGCCTCACATCAGCCTCACTAAAGATGAACTCCTTGTAGCCATGACTGCTGATTGAGAGCTAATACTCAATTCACCTCAGTCCTCATGATGGAGGKTTGTCATCTGAAGCACCAGCACGTCTTATGGTCTTGGCAGAAAACAGTGAGCTAAGTATTCCTTCAGCTAAGTATTCAGCTTCAGCTCTGATTTTGAGCTCTGTGAGCATTAGCAAACCTCCATTCTGCTGCTTTTAATTCCTCATTCTGCCAGTGGGTGTGGGTGTAATGCAAACCTACTGCCTCTGCCATAAAAAAATCACCCAGGATTAAYCTGTCAGGTGAGATGCATCTGCGASATGCTGTGGGCCTTACTCTYGCAGCGAGTTCAGCAGGTTRGCTCACCTTCTTGCTTCYTGTGCTATAAATAAAGAATAACTGAAGTGTATTCACAATGACTAYGGGGTGGCTGCTACCGGGTTTACACAGTGTAACACTTTCTGAGGTGTGGAACTGATCCTTAACACCTTTCATGATGAGAATACTCTCTGCAATCTCGTTCTGTTTCAGGGAACTCAAGATGTTTACTCAAAGAAGAACTTTGACTAGATGCAAGAGAAAGTATACTTGAAGGGTTCTGCCTCTTCTGGATACTCAYATTGAGATTCTATGAAGCCTACAATACCAGTTTTATTCATTTTTTGTTTTCCTTCTTCCTCCATATATTCTTAATTTTCTGAGAGGGACTGGAGTGACAGTTACACTTTCTTTTGTGCTGAATTACAGCAACCATTTTTAATTTCTCCCTATAAGGTCAAAAAAATATAYAGGGAGTGCAGAGTCTATTAAGATGTTTGAAATAGATATTGAACCTTTCCCGCTTCACTKGAGTTCTATGTTCTTCAAAGTCAGCTAGAAGGGATTTCAACATGGTTAGAAATGTGTATTTCTAAAATAACTGTACCTTAGGAAAACTTCCAAGTCCTGACAGTTCTGAAATGCTGTATTTAGTGATGCACAAAATAATAAGGGGTCTGATCTAACCCCAAAGYTAAACTGAACCATTTTAAAGGAGTTTTCCATGGCTTTTCTAACTCTTTTCCCCTGACCCCATACACATCTGGTTCTAGTTGGCACCAAAAGACAGATGTATTTAAATGTCATGACAAAGGCTAATCTTGTATTTCTGCCTTGTTGGGAGACAGGAAGTACTAGAAATCTCATAAGATCCTCCTTGTATATCTGGCCACTTTTTACATAGTCAAGTGATTTACGTAGGTCAGAGGAGAATTCAAATTTTTGTGTCAGCTGTACTGACCCTCTCAACCTCCAGAGGCTCATTCATCACTAGGTACAGTTTAATAAAAGACATTGGAAAAGCTGTTCAGTCCTGACTCTATGGCTTCAGCCAGCCATGAAGGTCTTGATCTTTTGTATCTTTGCTCTTTCCGCCAGGAAAATCCAAGAAATGAAATGGTATTTAAGAACACTTTTAGRCAGGGAAACAAGACAGGAAAAGAAGTAGTGCATTATTCAAGATGGTAGAGAAAGAAATTAAAATMGATTTAAATCCTGTGATTCCACACTAATCTTTACACTTCCTTTAAGAGTCAAACTTGTTACCTGGGTAGATCTGAGTAAAGGTAACAAAATTAACGTGGACCCTGGGACTACTAAATACTTTGCAGTATTTACTACAATTCCTCAATAGAAAACTCCATAAAGTGCATTTTCCATAAATGGCCTGTTTTTTGTTTGCAGTAGTGACAAAGCCCCTTGAATGTTTCTGAAGAGCTGGACTGCAAGTGYTTAAGATTCCATGAAAACCAATTGGAATGAGTCGCTGAAGTAACTTTCAGAGTGACAGATGGTTTCCAAGTGACTTAAACACTTTTGAACATTCAACCCCTGAGCCACTTCTACAATGACAWGGCAAGGTGATGCATATGCACTTAGTGTGTTCTTTCATAAGAGGAAATCTGATACCAAAGCTTGCCTGTGGCTACAAGGAAAGGCTCACAGTGAATTCAGAATCTGAAGCTCCCTGCACACATTGTCATGCTCAGAGCATGCTTCTCTTTATGRCCTCACCATATGCACAGGAAAAGGCATGCCTACCAGTGATGGGATGCCGGTGTTTCACAAGTCTTATCTTCTCAGCAGGTTCTGCTGRCATCCTTGGGGCAGAACAGAACTCACAGCATGTATAGGTGCTAGTGGAAGAACATGTTAATATTTAAAGTAGGCAAAAACCAATCTGTGAAGAATATGTTCGTTTACCTTTCTGATCTTCTTTTTTTCCTTCCGATGCTGATGCTTTCTCTGATAAAGTGCCATTATTTCCACTAGCTTTTACCCCATTTTCTTCCTGTATGGTTTCTTCACCAATGGCTACAGTGTGTCCATTTGAAGTTTCAAAATTTACTGTTACATCACCATCTACAATGAAAATTAAAACGTTATTGTCTGGTTTAACCACTTACTTAGCACCTACTTACAACACACAGCATCCCTCTGCTTTCAGGTTTCTGTGGAAGAAAAGCAGAAAGACTTACTGAAAAGTGAAACATCAGGCTGCAGATCTGCTCTGGAAAACAACTCTATAAAGAAACTCTACAGGCTGTCACATTCTTTGGGTGGGCATCTTTGTGGTAGTGGGCTTGGAAGTCCACTGTTTGTTTCCAGCTTCGTGTCGGTTCATCAGCATCCTGTTCCCTTAGCCCTGCATCTCAGTTTACACAGCAAGGAAATGTGTGCATGGACCACAACAAAGCTGCAACATATTCCAACATATCCCAAAAATGGACAAAGGAGCAGAGTTGCAGGACCACTGTGGTGCACTCCCAGTAGGTAAATCAGCCAGGAATTCAGATAGTTCTTTAGAATGTATGTGCCCACTTAATTAATAAAAATAGGTCACAAAGACATTATCAAGTCTTAAGAACCAAGGTGAAGTCTTCCTGTATCACTTATCATACCATTATTAAATTCTGCAAGTCAAATTCTTTCACAGCTCTGATGACACTTTACTTACTCACCCAGACTATCTCTGCTTAAAAGGGGTTTTTTAATCCTGAAAAAAAAAAACTTCTTTCTCTTCCCTATTTATCTCTATAGTCCTGAAAAGTGCTACTCTTTCTGTGCTTACAGCTTTCTCTGTTCTAGGCATTTTAAAATTGATTCTGATTTTCATCTCTGGTAATTTCTTTTTGCAGGATTGTCTAGCTGTCAATCCAAAAAATAAGCAAATCTACATGGAATCTCTTCTGATTTCTCCCATCAATTCTTCACTAACTGTGGCAAYTCCACTTCTCTTCCTTGCTGTGTGTTATCAGACCTGGATGTTTGGTGTTTCCCTTATTTCACCACAATTATGCAGTCTCTGTCTGACCATCTCGGGTGCTCCCACTGAGCTGACTGATTCATTGTCTTCCACACACTGACATGAACTCAATTTATAAAAAAGGAGCTTTGCCTTCCTCACCTTGTCTAGTTTGCTACAGCTGACACTTCCACTTACCTTCCTGCAACAGTTTCTTCAGCTTCCCTCTTCCAAGAGTTCTTAAATCCAGTCTCCTCTCCACCTCCACACGTGACACTGACGCCTCTTATTCATGTCTTGCTTCTACAAACACCTCCTGCCTCCAAGTGGCACTTGCCCCTTTCCACTTCATTCYTCTTCACCCCATGTGAAACACTGTCACTTCTTCACATTTCTTACCTCTCACATTTCAAGACTCTGTGTAATTTCCTCTTTTAGTTTTCACCTCCATAGTCATTTCTTCTAGCTACCTTCACACTCCTTAACTGTCTTTCCTACCTCTCCATTTTTAGCGCCTTCAAACCAATCCTATATTCTTCCAAAATGCCCTTAAACATTTCAATTTTCATCAAACATGAAGCACAGTGTGATGAAGATAACTCAGACCAGACTCATATGGGAGGAAGAAGAGAAAATTGTTCATCTGCTGTAAGAAATCCAGAGTCCCATCCCCTTTTAAGGATGGAAGAGAGGGTCAAAGGCACTGATGACCAAAGTATTCATGCTTTTATCACAAATGACAGTATTTATGTTCAGATTATAGCCAACCTGAGAAATTAACATATTTCATTAGCTGTCCCAACTGTAAAATGCAGTTTACAGACTTCAAAGGACAAGGTCACACAGGTCCCCAGTACWGCACGTGGCAAAACCCACAACAAATTCACAGATGGACAAACTGAGGTATGGAGAGGTTATATGTCTTGTTTTAAGACAAAGACAGTGGCAGAGACAAGTGCAGAAGCCAGCTATGCCAAATGTCATAGTCTGATAATTAGCCAAGCTCTGTACAGACAAGGGATGCCACRCACCAACAAACAAGCCCTTTGCTTTTAAATATCTCTGTGTATGATACAACCATACACACTGATACTTTCCTGATTTTTCAGATCAGAGAGAAAACCACAATTTCCAGGAGATTATTTTTTGAAAACGTGGAGTTCTTAAGACTCCTCAATAAAATGACAAATGGTTTGATTTTAAGCTGCAGAAAATTATTTTACTCACTTGACTTTAATTTGCTTTAGATTTATAGAAGATTATTAGAGAGAATACCACTGGAAACATAATCAGATGTACCACAGAGGTATTAACCTTGGCTTACTCATGCTTTTCCAAATGCAAATTCTGGCTAATGCCACTTATTAAACCTCATAGCATTTTGAAACAAGTGATTTCTTCCCCCCAGTTTTATGCTGGTGCCATCTGTGATCATGGCCTGTGTGATAGTGTAGGATYCATATGATCCCAGCACTGGTACTTTTTGATACCTGAAATGGATTCTATTAATTTTTTTGGGTTCCAAAGCCCCTAATTTTTCAGCCAAAATTTCTCATTTTATACTCTAGCAGCTTTAGACAGCAAACCTTGACTCAAAAATAGATTTATCACTAATTCAGGAAAATTCTGCCAAACAATAGGTAGGAATCACCAAAGTCAAATAATTTACAGGGAGCATTAAAATACTTCAGGATATGACCAGAAGTCAGCTGGGGCTCCTACAGCAGAGGCAGCTACAGAGCACAAATCTCTTGACTCAACTTTACTGTCAGCTGGCCCAAATTACCTCTCACACTTCTCAGTTTGTCTGCTCACACCTATTTATACTACATGGAAACAGTGCAACAGTGGCTTTATCATACATGTTTAGTGCTTAGTAGCTAAATTCTAGTTAATGTGTTATCACCTTGCTCAGGCATTTCCTTCAGCACTCCCCGTCTTATCAGCTCCTCTCTGCTTTGTCTTGTCGAAATCTTCCTTTCCAACACTAAAGAAAAAGCACAGTTAAGAATAGATTTATTCTCATACTGCTGATGCTTATGAAAAAATGGGTAGAGAAYGAGTTTTATTTCATAGAAAGAGAAATCTTGTTTCCTCTGATTCTGCTGCAGAAGTGGTATGGGTTTTTGTGGACAGTGTCTGAAAATATTGTCCCACATTTTCAGGCACAGAAAGTGGGGACTCCTATGATCCAATATCTGCAGCTGAGAAAGTCTCCTTGAGGCTTCTTTTATGGTCAGTGGGAAAAGGTACTTTCAGAGTGAAATTGAACTCATCCTAGCATAGACATTTAACATGTAAAAGCAACTCTTTCCCACTAACTAGACTGACTAGCTCAGCTGAAAATACCTTGATCTCTTTGTACGAGTTCTGAGTAGGAAGAGACAAATCCTGCTCAGAGCAAGAAACTCACGAGTAGCCTTTGTAACATGCAAATTATTCCAAGGGAAAAAAAACACCAAACAAACAACAACAAAAGCAACCTTTAACAGAAGTCAGAAAGTTGTGTTCTAAAAGGAAATAACATCCTTATCAATCGATGCTGGGTGGCTTTCATGGAAAAAAATGCAGCATCCTGTTTTTAGGTGAAAAAAAGAAGCATGCACAAAACCCCCAAGACAGTGACATGAAGCATTCTAACTAYTATGTTTATTTCCCATGGAAAAAATGCTGATTAGTTTTATAGGGACAAGAATTTACAGATGTCAAAATAGAATAGATCCACACTGCCTCCCATCCCCAAACCAATGCAGTSATCTGGGAGATTATTGTAGTGATCCATGGGACCATGGTGCATCGTCCACAAAATGTGAGCATCACTTGTAAAATCCCATCTCTGCTGTTAGGAAAAGGTAGCTTCCCATCCTGATTCTGTTTACATGCAGACATTAAAATCCATGTGATGTTTGGATCTCAAGCTGAGGGCATGTGGTAAAGTTTCAGTTGTGCTGGACTTCATCCTATTAATGCCTTGGGATAGGGCTATTTGTCTCATGAACTAATTCCAGCAYTCTCTAGGGTCAGTCTAATTGCTGTGTGCAGATTGATAATACCTCTTGCAGTGTTTAATCTCGCTTGTGCCAGCCCAGTTGGAGTGAATCAGCCATACAGTGGAGTGACAGGCTCTTGTGAAGGCACCAAGAGAGGCAGGTTGGCTCTAATGAGGAATCTGCCTTTCATGGATAGCAAAACATCTTTGCCAGCAGCAGGCGTCCTCCATCAGGGAAGGGGATGGTTGAACAGAATCACAGAATTTGGGTTTCAGCTGGAAGGGACCTTAAATCGTCTCATTYYAACAMCTCTGCCATGGGCAGGGACACCTTCCACTAGCCCAGGTTGCTCAAAGATCCATCCAACCTGGTCTTGAAAGCCTATAGGGATGGGGCATCTGCAGCAACTCTGGGCAACCTGTTCAGTGCCTCACCACCCTCACAGGAAAGAATTTCTTCCTAACATCTAAYCTAAACCTGCCCTCTCTTAGTTTAAAGCCATTCCCCCTTGTTCTATCATTACATGCTCTTGTAGAAAGTCCCTCAGATTCTGCATGTCCCAAATTTACAGTACCAGGTTTATTTCTTGCACTGCAAARTGCAGGGATTCAGCAACTGCTCAACATAGGATGCAGTTCCCCATCAAAATAGCACCAACTCCTGGCCAAAGAGCTGGAGGCAGTAAACATTTTGAGCAGTCCAGTTCAAGCTACTCATGCCTGTGAGATCAAGAGCTCAGAAAYGCAAACAGTACTGGCTCAAGAACATATAAACTCACATTAGGTCTGTGTCTATATACTCAGGTCCTTTGTGGGATTTGTCCATTAWAGGTCAAACCCCTGYGGCWYTCAAATCACATCTGACAATACAAARGAGCCCATGAGTGTGGCTGCAGACCCTCAATATCAGCCAGTCTCCTAGGGGAAAGTGTGGGAGCCTGAACTCTGATCAGGTTAGACTGCCTTGGGTCCCACACCTAAATTACTCTCAAGCTCTTCCAGTTTCTCCCCATTATTTTCTAAAATTTGTGCCTTGCAGCTGTGTGTCACACATTGACACAGGAGCACACCCCAGCGCTGCCGAGCTTTTCATGTAGGGGAACACTCAGTCCTGCAGAGACTTTTTTAAAAAGAGATGGGGGGGGTCATGAAGATAAAGAATATGTGGGCAGGCAGGGATGGAGTGTCTTGGTCTTTCTGGAGAGCAGGTGCATTCAAGCAAAATCTCCTCTGACACAACCCTGAAGGATGAACACTTCGTACATGCACTTTATACTTGTTGCTGGCAATACAAATATTATTTTATTATTATTTCACCATTATAAATATTATTTAATTCCCACTCTTGTCTCTCTCTGCTTCCTTTTTACATCTATTTTCTTGGGGACAGTGAAATGAGATGATCTCTCATATATCTGTGGGACAATCCAATGCCACTTGAAAACAATAATGCTTTTTCCATCAAGCTTAAGAACATTCAATCAGACCTCTCCCCRTCAATGTCTCTCTCTAGTTTTCAGGATGATATATTTTCTTCAGTTCTACAACATTGAATTAACAACTGTATTGAATTAATTATCACAGAAAATGCCAGTTGTCACAAACCCCTTACACTTCTACTAAAAAACCTCAAAGCACTTTATAMATTACACAGGTTTTATAACATCCCTGAGACATAACTATCTCAATTTCACAGATTAGAAAATTTGTGAACAGATAAGAAGCTTAAGCCCCAGTCCTCCATCTTCTAAAATGCTAGCCRTGAGTGGTGTTTTTATTTAAACTGATTAAGCTCAATTAATTCAGCTTGAAAAGATAATTTATTTTAAATATTATTTGGCCCATTAAAAAAATCAAGCTAGTATTCACTACTAGTATCATAATTTTAATTCCTAAAAAGACAGAATCTTAATTTAAATTGGAGTGGCAAAATAATGTCCACTTGTATAAGAGGAATGAGTAGTCTGTCAAGTTAAAGCCAAGTATATCAACAAGTAGCCTGCTATTTAGTCAGTGTGGACTCATCATTATAATTTATAGTTTATTATATATATATGTGAATATATATATGTATCAACATGTCTATCATATATATTATATTTAGATATATATATATATAAAAGTGTGAATATATATAACATTTCAACATCAACATACTGTTTACAACTTTAGGCAACAGTAAAATGGAAAGAACAATTTCTCCATCTGTGCACATRTATGTGTTGAGATTGATCACAAAGAGCTCAGTCCTGACTGTGAGGGTAACTGGTTTTCAGCCCTTGCCTGCTGAAGAAGGCTGAGGTGAGGCAGGCAGCCTCCTGTCCCCTGCTCCAGAASAATCAGAAAATCCCATGTCAAAATCCTTCCCCCTACTGCAGTGAACAACAGAGCTTGCCCTGACTTCAGGTGTTACCATCAGAAAGGATGTGAGTTTACTGTAATGTAAGTAAGTGTAATTTACTTTACTAAAGTAAATCTTACTCACCTTCACAAACATTTGCTTTTTGCCCAGTGCAAATAATAGTGACACTAATGATAGAAACCGTTTACCTCAAAAAGCAGTTTCTCYCTCTCCTTCCCATCCCCTCAAAAGRGACTGYTTAGTGATGCTCAGCACCTACAAACCTCAGGCAGTCTGAAAACCCCTTCTCTGACTCGGAGAGTGCTGTGAGATTCTGGATATTCTCCAGTACTTCGTTTTGTTCTAAGAGAAGCTTGAGAGAACTCCAATTATTAATTTTTCTCTGACCTAGTAAGAGCTAAAATTGCCTTCTGGTTCCTCTCTGCATATACTTTTGCAGTGAAGCTTTGAAGTGGCATCTACTTTGTGCCAAGACACAAACTGCTGCCTTTTYCTCCACAGAAAAACATTGCAGAGAGAAACCCTTGAGATGATGMCATTTTCTGTTTGTTTTCATTTGATTTTGAAAGCCCTCCAGGCAAAAAGCATACAGCCAGTGACCAAAGAACAGACTTTCTGCGATAGRGCGTGGAAAATATGTCACTAAAGGAAAAAATTCCAGCCGTCGTTCCCACATCGGCACAGATACTAACATTTAACATCTAAACATCCACCCTTTTTTATGTTTGTGGTATTTGCTGTTTATGAACATCTTCCAGTTGCTCCTAAGACAAAAAGCACTCCATGGCACATGTCCTGGCAAGGCTGTAGGAAGAACCTGTTTCAAAAAGACTCTCGAAAACCCAGAGAAAGCAGCGAGAGTTCCTTCCAACAGCCCACATGCTGTCTTAGAAGAAACCCTTTCTTCAGCTGCATAAGGAATTATCACCTTGCAGCCTGCTAAGAGGACAGGCAACAAAAGAGGATCATCGGGCTCTCTCCCATGGTCCCAGGCCAGGAAATGAACTTCCTGCATGTAAGAGGTACACACACACACAGCCCCAACTTGGTAATGTAAATACATCTCTGATTGAGTAGGGTGAGGAAGAGGATATCCTGCAGGATTTTTATTTTGAGTGGATGTCTTCCCATTTCCCTCTCAAGTCAGATAAGCAAGTTTCTTCTGCCGTGTCAGTGAGCATGCGACATGTAAATGTGTCTTCTCAGTYTCCATTGCTCCCGGGTCTATTTCCTCAACAAATAMAGGGAAYAYTATTTTTAYTCATCCRTGAAATTACCATCTAAGGCAGGACRAATGCAATTCAAGTTACTTCTCCATTCAAACTCCAGCTTCACATGAAGCACATACACAAACCTAAGTGATCCCTTCCACAGTTTAAAAGCAAATGAGCATTTTGAGAGTCCACAACACCATAAACAAGACCAGCAAACTAAATAGAAGTGAGTATCTAAGGGGGAACTTTTGAGTACATTGACCTTAATTCCTCTGTGCTTCTTTTCCTCCTTTTTAAAAAGAAATATGAACACATGCTTTGYCTAGGTTATGCCTCTGATGTGTCATGCTTCTAAGATGCCTGGATTCAGGCCCTCAAAAGATAGTACAACATAATAAATACTATATTTAACATGAATTTACCAGATATTCATATTTAAAAGCAATTGGAAAATGATACATGCATTATTATTTAATGGCATAAAATTTGACACATGCTAATAGGTTGYGGAAATTTAGGGAATCTCTGTATGCACAGAGAATGGTCATTACTCTGAAGAACTAAATATTCAGATCACATACCTGTCCAGAAGAAGCTGTAGAACATTCAGGAGTCGTTAACTAGAAACAAACTTGCTTTTTTAGCAATATGATAAAAATACTAGGAAAGCTGAAGAAAAAGGGAAGCAATGAAGGGGATAAAACTGAGGGGATTTTTTTTCAATGCAGTAGTAGAAGAAATTGTAGGGGGTTTGTTGCAGGGTATGTGGGCAAATTATTAAAAAAAAGGAAAAGGAGAGACAGAAGGATTTGAAGATCTCAGAAATGTGTTCAGAACTTCAGCTGGMATCTGGAGTGATGAAGACACCTGAGAAAATGGCTTCTTTTTGCCTTTTAAATAAAGTTTGTTTCAGAAGTTTCACTGTCAAACCATAGAGCTTCTTGCTCTAACTGCTAGGGRTTGGTATGGGTTTAAAATGTCAAGCACTGTATTCCTAAGGGTTCAGGAGAACCTACTGAAAACACTTTAGGAGACTAAGGTTGGTTTTATTGCCTACAGCCTTGGAAGACAATAGAGAGAGGGCTTGCACAGTGGCAGTGAATCTAAAGAGCTCACAGAAGATCACTGGACTCTAATTAGACTCAAGTTTAGGAAACCACAACATCAATGTTAGAATCCCAAAGCAGAAGTTTGGGAATTTTGTAGAGAAAGTTTGGCTAGAGCAGTGACACAAAGAMACACATACATACAGGGTGGCATTTGGTTTCCTAAACATGGATGTCTACAGCCATGTCAGGTGCCTCAGGTTTTTGGAGATGTCTGCACAGGGATGACAAATACGATATCAAACCTTCTATGAGAGTAGCCAGGACAACCCATCTCAGGTGGCCCCAAACAACTGTGTTTGGTTAACTAAATCCCAGCTTTCAACACCCCTCTTTTTCAGACAGAACATAATTCAATCACAGCATTTTATTTCCGACCACCCTTCCAGCCCTGTCAGAAGGGAGGTGAAGGGGCAGAGCAGCCTCTGTGAAGGCAGCGGGTTCAGAGCTGATCCTTGTTCTTCTGCTGGGCATGGCCACATCCGCTTCTCCCCCAAACTTCTGTCCCCATGAAGGCATAGTTTGCTTCATAATCCAAGTCACTGACTATCAGGAGGTCACAGAGATTTTCCAATATATTTGAGGATAGRTATAGTAAACAAATCAGCTGCATATTTTTGGTGAGAGCTTCAACACAAGCTGAACAAGGTTAGGTTTTTCTTTGCCAAGAACCAAACTGTTTTTCTATATGTCCAATACCGTGCTYAAATAATCCCTGCCATCTAACATGTTCAAACAGTTTTTCAAATATTACCCTGAAAAACCACSACAGTGTTTCCTATTTACCACCAAAGGGCCACAGACATACCTGCTGATGTTTCTCTGAATTTGTCACTGGTCTTCTTCTTCCGCCATTTCCAAGGTTTAAAGATTTTGCCAATGTTGGAGAGTTTGCCCTTCCTCTTGAAGGGGGGAGTTTGTGATCCTGGGGCTGGTCCATCTGAGTTAGCAATTGAAGCCTTGTCCAAACCATCCACTGTATAAAGAAAAGAAGTAAAAATAACTAAAGGATGGCAAACAACAACAGCTAAACTCCCCCGCTGTCAGATTGCAACAGGCTGTCTGTGCATCCATTTGGGATTCTTTCCTGTTTCAGAAGGCAGTCAAAGGGCCATCTGATCTCAGCCCAGGCTCACTAGCCAGTCCCCACCCCAKCTTGCCCTTCTCAGCAGCTCAACAGCAGCTGTCCAGAACTTGCTTCTCATGATGGCTCATCTGGCACRTTTGCACAGCCTGGTGGTTTTCCATCACAGGAGAATTTCTTTCAACATATGTTTGGGTGACTTTTTCCCTATCCTTGGTAAAGTTGAATAACTAGCTATCATCACACAGAAAACAAAACCCTTGCACTGTGAAAACATACAACAATTTCTTTTGGGTAAAATTAATCCTTTCTTAAACAAACTCCAAAGATAACTGTTCTGGCAGTGGAATGGGAACAAGTCTGTTTGATATCCCTGGTAATCAGTCATTCACAGCACAGCCTGCCATGAGTCAGGCTTCTTATTAACAAAGCATATTTAACAATAAGCTTTTGAACTGGAGCCAAAATTTAAAGGAGGATTTATTTTCTGCAAAAGCATATTGAGTGATACAAAAGCCAATATTTAGCATCAATGGCTGTAACTTCAAGTTTTGTGAACCAAATTAAGACTCATCCTGCAACATAGCACACAGTTAAAATACCTGAAGTACGTACTATTATTTATTTCTATATAAGAATTAAAGTTTCTTAAARCCTTCCATTTGTAGTCCTGCAAACACTTCCAATGTGCTGAATTTTACTCGTAAGCAATGAGGTAACTGCAATTACTTAGAGACATAAAATTAATCATGGGCTTAACTGTTTGTGGCATACAGGATCTGTAATTGCTTTCATTCATCTAAACATTCTAATTATAACGAATTCAGAACTGAGTTGATGCCACTCTGAACAGAAGTAATGATAATCATAGATCATTAAATCAGAAATGCTATTCAAAGAAAGAAATATCAATGCCCCCATTTTACAGATGGAAAATATGAGGCACAGAATTTTTAAGTGCTTAATTTTATGTTTGTCAAATGGCTTCCTGAATCCTGGTCCTGTGTCCTAGCTGCCTAAACGATATATATTCAGCCACATAACATCCTGGTGCAATCTTATTATTCTGTTTCTCAGAGAAATGGCATTTAATGAGTCCTATATTTATCCTAGGCTTCAGATTGATCCAGGATGCTAAAAAAAAAAACAAACCAAAAAACTAAAAAACCAGAAACTTTTCTGTGAGAAAGCTGATGTAATGCAAACAGAGTCCAAGAAACTTTATTTCCAATGTTTTGAAATAAAGTACTGGKAAGAAAGATTCATTATGTAGCTTCATTGAAGTTAATGAAGTTAAAACTGCAGATAAATTGGTATGAAAATTAYAGCATTTAAATAAAAGATCTGTGCAAGTTATGCCATAAAATTCAATATATTCTGTACTGCCTGAGAGATAGAAAACTTTGCCAGGATAAATCACTGCTATGCAGATGCAATGAAGTTTAAAGCTTTTATTTGTTTGCTTTGGGTATTTTCTGGTCCATAACATGGAGATAATATGGAAGGCAGGCATGCAAATGGACTTTAAATGTAAAAAGCAAAAATTTTGGAAACTATTCAGCTGTATGTACCCCTTGCAAGAGTACAAAATCTCACCTGTGTGCCCCAGAGAACGAGGTGATTCTTACAGAGACTTAAAAATGAAGCAGCTTTGAAATGAAGCAGCTGCACCCCAACAGCCCCTGGGAAGCCAGGTGAGAGGTGGGGGATGAGAAGAGCACCAAAGGTAGAGAGCAGCTCTGCAGGAARAGAGGCAGAAGGAGCTCTGCAGGTGCCTTCCCTGAAATTAGGGATTGCACTTTTGTCCAGGCTTACGGGCACTGCCTGTGGAGTGCAGTCCCTCACRGAATACAGGAGCCCCTGATGGAAACTGTGCATCTAAGGGAGATTTACATTTCTTTGGAGGGTACTTACAAAGAAAAGAGTAAACATTGCAATTCCAGCTGACACAAGAAGGATGAAGGCCACAGCTTGCAGCCAGGGAGAGCCAGGTAAGAAGAAAGGAAAACACCACCAGGAGGTGGAKAGTGCAGCACGGGAACAGCTCCTGGGAGGTTTGGAAGGCTCAGCCAGGATCCTCCAAAGCTCCTTCCGGGCTGACCTCACCTACTGTCAGGAACAGTCCTGCTCTTAGTAACTTCCTGAGATGCCTCCCAGCTGAAATTCCCATGGTGCTAAGGGATGCAGAAACACATGGTTTCTCTGTGAAATCAGCACTGGTAAATCCAAGGGAAGTGGTGAAGAAAAGAGGCCAGGAACTCTTGGCTGTAGAGCTCTGTCCTGGGACAGGAGCCAGGCATTATCTCCCTGGCAGAAGCAGCCTATCAGCTCAGTGGAGTGACAGGCTACCCACCCCTGAGGCAGCAGGACAAAACCCACGTTCTTGTCCCCAGTGGCTCAAAAAGGCTGGGCTACAAGTGTGAAGAGCCTGCATCCTGRTGATAGGCAGCACGGTCTTAAAAACACTTGAACACTGATCTTTTCAAATCCCCCTGRGTCATGGAGTCCAATCTATTGCAGGAGACCACTTTCACAAAAGCCTCATCTACAGTTTTTCCTCCTGTGCCTACCACCAGAAATGGATGAAGATTAGTGCTCCAACAGCTCCCCACAGAGAAATACAGGTTTGCATCCATCCCTGTTCTGCTCGGTGCTGAAAATTTGTAACTCCAAAATAACATTATTCATCCTAGCTACAGARGTCTGTCTGCTTCAACTGAGCTAATACATGAAATTCATGGACAATAATTCTATTCAGGAAGATTGAAACTTTTGAAAACAGGTGTCAACATTAATTTCTTCTGACAATAAGAGACAAGAAGTTGATTTATCAAGTGAGTTCAACAAGTGTTCACAATTGGGAATTTACTAATTCATGAACATTGTACCAATTCCCTCATTTGAAACATGAGGAAAAGAAGGAATAAGCATAGCCAGATACCACAGACTGACTTTAGAAATAATCTAAGTAATGTGCCTTGGAAAACCAACTTATTTATATTCAAAAGCACATMTATTATGTGTAAACATATATATTCATAAGCTAGCACATTTTACCAATTAATAAACTATTTAGAAAAAAAACCCCACAATTTCAGCAATGACATTTCAGAGCATTTATGGGAAGTTCTTTACAAAAATTATTACTCCTCTTCTTTGAAAAACTCAGCAGGAAAGTGTTGTTTTAGTTACACACTATTTGCTTCATAGGTCATGTACTACTTAAGAATAAAGCAGTGTGGTTTTCCCCTCAGAGAACTTATTTACATTCTATTAATCATCATAAACATTATACATATTCACTAAGAGGAAAAGAACCATCCTAGCTTYCTGAGTTTAGAGGAGCTTGCTGACTTTTGTTACTTTTATTTGTACATGCAGTGTCTTGAAGKGCCRCCTTCTTCCCACCATCTTCAAAAAGCCCRTGAGTYAYTTCMCWGCTTTCAATGAAYATTATCATTAAGTTTGACAAGAGGWCTTTYGACTATTCTACCTGCATAGTTTACATTATCATATTCCAGTYCTTTGCCCTAGGTGAGGATTTTCCAGCTGCAGGATCAGCTGTGTACACAAGAAGGATGAGAAGCGGGTTTCTGAATCCTGCGCGTCGATGTCACGTGGCGATGAGATTTTGCTGCAAAAGGCCATCAAAGAGACTAACGGAGACACTGCAAAGCCAAATCGTGCCACAGGAGCTGTGAATTAAAGTCACAAAAAGRACAGCCTCTCCTCAAGCTTGTGGGCAGACAGAGGAGATTAGATCAGTCTGTGGATGACCCTGATTTTACTACAAGTGCTTAGAGATGGAAATGCCTGAAGATGTCTTATCCCAGGAAGGCTACTTGCAACAAGCAGCGCTGAACTCTGTAGCTGCTGAGGAAACACTTTACTGCTGTGAATGATCTCCAGTGATGTTGTGTGGCTGAAGCAGGCATGTGAAATCATCACAGTTTTCCCAGGGCATGGTACACTTCAGCACTAAGACGTCAGTGCTGGCACACACTAACTCTTTCTTCAGATAAGAGCTTACAACTAAATTTRTAAAAGCAAAATGCAACAAAAGAATGATCCAACAGATCATTTCAAGCAAGTCTAATGTCAATTCCTATGAAGTAAACAGCTGTGTTTCTGCTGGTTCCAGGCCTTTTGATCTGGAATGAAGCAAGACTATTTTTAAAAAACTCTGACTTAAAGAAATTAATTGTAAAAAAAAAAAGAGGACTATATTTATGTCATTAGATGTTCTGTATTTTTACTTCTGTATATTTTTCCTCTTGGCAGTGGAAGTGAAAAGCCAGTAGAAGAAGCTAACCTCTACTCTCCTCACCTTCCTACACAAGTGATCTAATCCTGCTGGAGCACTGGCATACTGGAGTACATATTTAATGGATTCTTCCTCACATCAGGGCTCTTAAGCACAAATGGTACCACCAGAGCATCAAGTTCTTCTTTCCCCACCATGCTGCTCCTTTCATGCTGCAATGCTTTCTCTCATCTGAAGGCTCACCCACCTGCACTGCAACTCTGCTCCTTGTCATATAGCAAGGTTAAGAGCGGCAAGACAAAGGAAAACTCCTCCTCCTATCACTGCACAACACAACCAAGAGGAGAAAAAGGCCCAGAATCAAGTGCTCCACTGATTTCAAGGCAATAAGGTAGCACTGGTGCCTAAAACTTTCACAAGCATAGGTTCTCTTGCAGTATTGCCATGGCATTACCACATCACTTTTAAAGCATGTGAGGAAAACCTTTTCATCCTGTCAGAATACAGGTGACCCAGGGTATTGTTACACGAGTGAATTGAGAAATGCAGCAGAAGATGTCTTGGCCCCAGTTCAAAATAACCTTATATGTGGATTTGGAAACAATTTCTGTGCTTATTAACTAYCAGT